GCTCCTTACCCAGCCAAGAGTGTACCTGTCCAAGCCACGGACTGCCACAGTGTCTACGGACTGTGCATCTCTCACAGCATTCTCCTGTTCCCTCAGCACTCTCGGGTGAATCTCATCCAGCCCCATGGACTTGTGACAGTCCAATTGGAGTAGCAGATCTCTGACTGTTTCCTTCTGAATCGTGGGTGGTTTAGTCTGCTCCCCAGCCCATAATGACTTATTCAGGAAAAGCATTGCCTGAGCAGTATTGCCTTAGCCCATCTTTTAGCACCTGGTGGTACAAGATAATGATTTATATTAAGTGAAACTTTGAAATTTCTGAATGTGAAGTTTTGCAAATAGTAGATGGCTGTTGCAAGAAATAAGGATGAGAACAGGCTCTACAGGTAGAGGTAAGCACAAAGAGTGCAGCCCTGCTAAAGGAAGTTGCCAGTAATGCACTGAGAAAGGAGAATCCTGGAAGCTTTCTCTGAGCATTGCACAGTGGTGTGAGAGATTTGTTGAAAACTGGTTCTGTTGGATGGCTTGGTCTCGTTTTAAGTTAATGTGTGCAGAAGAGCAAGTTGGAGCTAGAAGGCTTGGATCACTCAACGAAGTTTCCTGTTGATGCAAGCACTGACAGCATGTTATTTCTTTCACATATTTCTTTCAATTTGTCTTAGAAACCAGCTGGGTTTCTTGCTTCACATTACTCAAAGTTGTTGGTGCTACAGTTAAATAGCAGTCAGCTGAGATTAGAGGTTGGTACTCATCGTTCCCTTCTAGTTTTAAAATTAACACCCCCGGTAAATCTGAGCATTGTCAGGAGTAGGACACCAGAGCTGTGCTAATCAAAGAACAATGGTGTTTATATTTTTAAACCGCCTTAACAAAGGAAAAGGATTTTCCCATATTCAAGTGCCTTATTCCTGAGGAAAACAGGATACAAGTGTACGGTGGAACCAAGAATTTGCCAAGGTAAAATACTCCCAAGTGATTCCATACATCTACATCGTATTTCAGGCTGCAGTAATCAAAGGGTGACTAAAAAGTTGTGGAATCCTGGACTTGTAGCTATACTGTTGGTTAAAACTTGGTCCCGAGGCTGCCCTAATCTAGTTAACTGTGTCAGAGTGGTTTGATGACCCGCATGAACTGGCTCTGTCAATTCAGTTTCTGCTGCATGCATAGCAGTTGATACCAACTGGCGTGCTTTTGTGCCAGATGGTCCAAAAATTGGTGAACAAGTATTACAAATTTGCTTACCTCTGTCACATTTTCAGGAGGCAGAGCGGAGGCATAGTGCCAGAGCGATATGAATGTGACTTGGCAGTACTGTTGGTCCTGTTTTGTCTGCTAGCAGTTAGTTTGTCAGTGGAATTGTCATTTAGTTTTTATGCCTACTTAATTCAGTTAAAATATAAACCCATGCAATGCACTTCCCCGTCAGCAGCATCTCCTAAATGGCCCATAGCAAACAAACTGCTGTTTTCTTCTGCATAAGAAGTGAGCTTTCCACATTTGCTGATATTTGGAAATAGTTTTTCAGAAGTTACAGGCTTATGTAAGCAGATACACATAGACAGAACTATATGTGTGCCAAGGTGCAAGACTATTTTGCCTTCTATGCAGGCCTGTGCTTTGCACATACAGCTTTTCTTAAGTAAGTAGTTATCTTTGTAGTAGTAATAAAGTAGTAGCTATTGGCAAGAGGTTAGGTCATCAAACACTAAACTCTCTGTGAGAGTTTTTGAGGAATTAAAGCCAGAACAATAGCTATATTAGAGATGAATATATCCAAAAAATAACTAACTCAAATCCTAGCACTTTGCTTGCTTAAGTGATGTCACTCATTCCTGTATGAAGTTCTTCTGTTAGCTTGTGGAGGAATGTTGTTTCTGGTGGTTTTTGGTTTTGTCCTTTCTCAAGTGTTTCAGTGGCATGGACTGAATGAATCACAGAATCATCTAGGTTGAAAAAGACCTTCGAGATCATCAAGTGTTGCATGCTTTTTAAGTCCAATCACCTGACGTATTGCAAGGTATGACTTAATGAAAATCTGACCTGGCTCTTTTTTTTTCTTTTTTTAAAGCTGTATCAGCTGGAGTAGTTACCACAAGAACCTGCTAGCCAGCAGCGACTATGAAGGCACAGTCATCCTGTGGGATGGGTTCACGGGACAAAGATCCAAGGTCTACCAGGTAACATGTAATCAGCAAGCAACACTTCTCTGCACTACAGACTGTATCAAGGGAGCAGTGTTCAGATTGAGATGCTGCTTTTAGTCCAGCAGTAGGTGAAACAGATGCAGCTTCTGTTTGACAAATGTCTTATCCATGCAATGTTATTGAGCTGTAGTCCTCTGAGCGAGGCAGCTCTGTCTCGTCAGTCATGAGGCAGTTGATGTTTTCTTGCCACCAGTCTTGCTGCTACTGCTTCTAGGTAGGCAGTTTGCACAGGGAGAAATGAGTTCCTGGAACTTATTTGTCTCATCCTCCTTTAGAAACCTTTGTCTGGCTCTCTCCATACCTGCTTCACGTCTGTCTTTGTCAAAAGCCTTTTGTGAAATCCTGCAGTGATTACTGTTACGGGTGTTTGTAAAGCAGAAGAGCAAAATGCAGGCTTATGTAGCAAGCCTAGGTGAATGGAACAGTAGGCAGAAGGTTTCCCAGTACGGTCCTGTGCTCAGCAGAGCAGTGTGTGCATATGTGGACTGAGCTCAACAGTGAGACCTATTTTGTGATAACTTTGTGGTACTTTGTCTTTTCTTGCCATTTGAACACTGTGTTTTCATTGAATGGATCTGAGAGCTTTGCAGTCAGAACAAGGAGGTTGGAAGTAAAGGTGGCCTGGTGTTGTGAGGTTGGAAGTGCTGCAGCGTGGTGTGTAGGTAGAACACTGCATTGAAACTGGTCTGTGCAGGCAAGCCTTTGGTTCTTCTTTCTTGACAGTTCCACATAAGTTTTAATTCCTACTTAAAGCTTTGTTTACTTTTTTCATTGTTTTAGTCATTTACAGTGTTTGTTTTCATTAATCCTGTACATATGTCAATTAAAAAGAAAAGGTGCTGGACAAAATCTTGTGTGTTTTCCTCCCATATACGTTTTGCATTTCTTTGAGACTAAGTAATGAGCCTAGAGAGGACTCAGCTGTTGCTTGTGTTAAAACAAACTAATTTTGCTGCTTATCGGATCACTTGAATTTTTGATTTAGATTTACAAAAAGATAAAGGCACACACACTGACATCTGCCTCACGTGTATTAGAAATCCTGTAGTGACTTTGTCCTGGAGAGCTTTTCATGTTATCATCTTGTTTAAAGGCTTTAAACAAAGGGTTTGACCGAATTTCAGGTTTCATTCAGTGCGGTGCTTTTGATTCCACACGAGATGTCAGCATAACAAATACAGCCCTTCTGTGTTTTGTGTGCAGGCTTGAAAGTGTGTGTTTGAGTGGAGAAACACAGGGTTAGACACCAGAAGTGCTGTTTAATAATTCAATATGAAGATGAGGGCTTTCTGATAGAAGATGGTCTAAGTGGCTTTAGACAGACATCTTAATCAGTATTGGGAGACAAAGCTGTATTTTGTTAGAATAATTAGCAGCACACATTGGAAAAACAGCCAAATGATACTGGAAAAATAGATCTTTAACATATATTTCTTGAAATCATAATTGCTTCAAATTTAAAAATCAAATTGAAAAAAAATCAGTTTTAGTTCTTAAAATTGCTCTTATGCTGCTGACTTCTTTCAAGCCATGTTTAGCATACTACAAGCATTAATCTGATTGGGAGAAAAGTTTTTGAGAAACCACCAGAAGGCCCAGGAACAGCCTGACAATTTATAGCAAACAGCATGCATTTTTCTTTCACTGTTTGATCAGATTACAGCTCACTGCCTTGAAATATTTGCCTTCTTTCTCTAAACAGGAGCATGAGAAAAGGTGCTGGAGTGTTGACTTCAACTTGATGGACCCAAAGCTATTAGCTTCAGGCTCTGATGATGCAAAAGGTATTGTTTTTTTTTCTCCTGTCTCTCTGCAGAAGACTTACACTTTCTGCATTCCCTCTGAGGAACAGAAATGTGATAATTCAAGTAGCTGATTCCTCAGCTGCCTTCAGTTTTGTTGTTGGTGTGGTAACGTGTCAAGATACCACTGAACTGTTCAGAGCTTAGAGTGAGAGCCTTTTTTGGGATTAAGATTTCTTGGTGTGACGTTCAGTTTTGGGGTAACATACTCTCTAGCCAGCATCTTCCAGAGCACTGAAGAAAATCGGGCGTGTTTTAACATTAGTTAAGCTTGTTGAGTTAAAGCCTCGGGGCCTTTCAAAAAAACAGCATGTATTTATGTTTCAAAAAATTAGGTTGTCAGGCAAAAAGCAGACGCTGAACAGCAGCAGGCATTTTTACCTGTAGTTCTAAACATTAAATGAACATTAAATGTCCTGCACGACATTTCTCACAAGGTGCAGGGTGTTTTTTTCAGAGCTTAATGAGGTTGGGCAGTGGACTCAATGGGATCGTTGGGAGCAACTCTCAACTTTCCGTACTCAAAGATCTATTGGTCAAAGAGATTTTGGAGAACCCTTAAGGCAGCTCTTTCCCAACCTACCTGGTAGGTAAATATTTCTCTTCTAAGAGACAGGAAGCATCTAAAGACTGAGGAATATGTAACACATGTAACATACTTCATCCCTAATGAAAAAGATTTTATCTGTAATGTGTTTACAATAACAACTTGCTTATCAAGCAAAAAGAGCTTTAGAGTTGTTTAATAATTTCCTTTTGTAGTCAATGGAGGTGAACTCTGCTAGATGGGCTAACAGAGCCCTGGTCAGAGCTGTTCATGATTTGCTTTGAAATGATAAATTTTGCACAGCAATTAAACCTTGAAAACCTCTAAAATGCTTTTAAATAGTTTCAAAAGAAAGCTGTATTAGTGTTTGTCAACAGCATTTAATGCTGTTCATGTCATTGGCGATTTCATTTAGAAAATGTAGCTTTAATGATCGTTTTGTATATAAGGTGCTTTTTAATATATATATTTTTTTACACTTTCCCCCTTATGGTTGATAGCCAAGAGTGTTTTACATGGGCCTAACTGCAGTGGGAACGTTCACCTTGTAAATTATCTGCCTTTCTATCACTTTGCTCCCCACTCATGCTGTGCATTTGAAGAAGCTTATCTACCAGGTTGACACGCATTTATTAGCATGCTAACAAGTTGTCCAGTTGTGGAAAGCCAGCTGCAAGCAGAGCTCTTGTCTCTAACTTGACAGTTCACTTCTTCAGTAATAGTTTTTAAGAGTGATGTTTACTCAGAAATTATTGTAATAAAGTCTGCAGATCCACATAAATGGCATTTCAATCCTGAAAGGTCTTTTGAAGGTATGTTGGTGAGGTTTTTTTAGTGAATAGAACTGGCCTGGAACATTTTATCTTCTACCTCCACCACAGTTTGCCTGTGATTTGCATACAAAACAAGCAAATAAATGGAGTCCTGTGTGAGTGTTAGAAATAAGCACCGCTTTTAAGTCTTTCAGGTACAGAGCAATAGTAGCAAACATCCAAATTGAGCTGTCATCAGTGTCCAACTTTCATTTCACATAAAAAGGGTTAAACTCGAGGAAAAGGTAACACCTATGAATTGTCTTCACTCATAAATTTGCATAACTTCTGTTTTTGTCTTTCTACTTACCTTAATGAGTGCTTAACAACGTTAAGCCAGCTCTGGATGTGCATTAAGGACATATTTGGCCAGGTGCAGCATCTGATGGCAAATACAAGAGCTGCATACTCTTCCTGGCCTCTTTTTCTTATCTGCTTTTGCGAGGCCACACTGGGCTTTCTAACAAGAAATTTCAGTGTTGATAGATATTGGTGTGACCAGAACAATTGAATCTAATCTCTCCATGTTTCTCTAGAAAGCACGGGTGTAAAATTTTTCTGTCAAGTGTTCAGGACAAGCCAGCAAAAAAGTGACAGCTTAGCCAGTTCTTCGTGCTTGCCTGTGTATCTGCCTGTCTCTTCTCAGTCTTTTCAAGTTGGAGGCTAATTTTTAAAGCGCTCTGTATCCTCAGTAGGTATGTATTGGGAAAGGAGATTTTAGATTAATAATCCTGTCGTTGGTGCTTCACAACATTGGTGCTGCCAGGGCTCAGACGCAGCAAAGAGGATGCTAATGAATGAAGTGTCACAAAGGATAAAATGCTTCTGATACAATAAGAAACAACATCCTCGGGTCTTGGGTCCTGCAGCAACTTCTTCATTAGATGAACATAATCCAGGATGCTTATTTGTGGGAGATCTTTGTACTTTAATAGTAGGTAATGAGGGCGTAAAAGCATTAATGTACTTGAAATAGCTACCGTGTGCATGAAAGCACCATTTTGTCTATGGTTGTCATTCACTTCCCTCTTAAAGGGGCAAAGGTAGTTGAGTATGTCTATAAGAGACCCAAAGGTGCATTCCACCTAGATGGCAGTCAGCAAAATTAGTGTTTACTTGTGGTACAAGCAGCCTAGGGAAACTGCATGGCCTTAATTTCAGCTCTTCTATTCGCATAATAATGGCAGGAGCTACGATTCTCATGTAAGTAGGAAAAGGTGAAGTTCTGCTTTTTGAGCAGAGAGAATTTAATTTTTGACAGCATACAGTCGATATTGAAGTGCTGGGTAGTGGTGGAGCTAGTGCAGACTTGCAGCTCTTCCTTAACCCAGCATTGCTATGAGTTCTGGGCTGAGAATGTAGTTTAATGGCCAGAGTGAAATTAGTAAATGAGATAGTGAGAGCAAAATATTACCTGTTGCCATGCAGGGAGAATTTAAATCTTCACTGAGGCACTTCTGGAGCAATCAAGTCTGTATTCCCTGTTCTGATCTTTTTGAAGCTTTCTGATGCTTGCAGAGATGCTAGCAATACTGACTAATTAAAGCCAACTCTCCTTCTATAGTTTATGTCCTTTCTTAGCTGAAGTCCCCTCACTATTTCCAGCTCAAAATGGAGAGCTGGAGCAGAATCAGCTGTGAGAGTTCTGAGCTGTGGTGAAAGGTTACTTTTCATTGCCTCGTGGCACTGGGGGAAAGCAAGCATTTGTTTTATTACATACAAGAGAAAATTATTTCCTTGGTAAGTGAGGCAGTGGATGCCAATCCTGCAGCTGTTTTTCATAGTACCTGTGATGGGGCAACATAGATTCACTGAGTTGGCCTCGTGGAAGTTGTACTGACAACTGCAGGTCGGAGCATGTTTCAGCTGTGGTGAGGATATCAGAGGTTTATTTGGTGCTTCATTTTTAATGACAGTTAGCTCCTTCAGCTTCTACTGACTCTCACTGGAGTTTTAGGTGTTTACAGCTCTTCAAATATCAGGCTGAACTTTCAGCTTGTTCGTTTTCCTGGCTAATAGCAGTTCAATAACTTCCTGAAGCTTTGAGGGCCATTGTATTCAACTGGGAGTGCCTCAAAAGGTCAAGATGATGCTGATAGGTAAAGTGGCAACCCAGATACCTGACTGACAGTCTTAAACTTTCTGCGTGCAAGGAGTCATTGCCTGGTAACAATCAGGAGTTTATATCATGCTCCTGACCTTACCATCAGTGTGCTGATTTCATACATCAGCCCCTTCAGCTATTGCAGTGCAGGCTTCCACCTCCTTTATTAGTTAGTGTTTGATCTACAGAAGATTGATTTATAAATTTGGTCCTGAATAAAAAGAATCTTAAAAAGACTTAAGCATTTGAAATGGAGAAGGCTGCTCCAGAGCATCTCCTTTCTTGTGTGCTGAGGAATGGACACTTGGCCACTTAGAACTGTACCTGTCAGTAGCAGCAATACCAGGAAACGTGTTTTGAGAACATGTGTTGTAGAACTAGCCAATCTCAGGTGGTTGTTTGCCTCATTCAAACAATTCTAAGTGATAAAGACATCTGTGTATTGTATAATTACTGCCTCGACCTCAGAGCTGAAAGCTACGGTAAATAAACTCTTATGAATTATGCTTTATTAAACTGTCAGTTCTTTATGAAAAAATAATGGACAGTTGCAGGTAGAACTTGACAAGTTTCATTATGTGTTGTTACACGTTGCATATATCCTTTTTTATGGCACTAAGATATAATTGGAGCCTACCCTATCCCTCAGCAGCCAGATCACAGAAATTGCTGCAGACTCTAATCTGCATCTGTCAGTTGTAACGAATATTATGATGGCTTTGAGCACACAGGTTGACTCTTCTCTAGATAAACGGCTATGCAATGTGACCTGAAGACTTGAACGAAAAAAACTGAAGCTGAGACGTAGCCCTCATGTAACTTCTGCATCAAAACTGAGACCAAATGGCTGTTTAGTAGAGATGGTTTCAAGAAGGAACTAGGCTACTTTGGGCACTGCTTTAAATGTCAGTCGAAACTGGAAGGCTTCAAGATGAGTCTGTTTGCTTTATTCCTAGATTTGGGAACAACATTGCTCTAAATTGTGAGAACACTTAACTTCTCTGCATACCTCAAGTTTAAGCAGTGTCTGCCAACAGTGTCCTCTACAATGACAGCATTATTTGCTTCCTATACTGTCACATCCATAAATGTGATGTCCTCTATAGCCACTGCAACTTAGGGTGTATATATCTTGGTGTCAGTTCATTAAAGCAAAACACAAGTGTTATATTACAGTGCAAAATTATCTTTCCTAGCTTTGTGCTTCTCTTCTGTCCTCCAGTGAGAAACACAGTGGAGGAGGTATATCTTCCAGTCTGATTTGGGGAAAAAAGAGCATCTTAAGCCATGTTTACAAGGTCATTTGTTTTATTTACAAACGTGGCTAAATGTTTAAGGTGAATATTATAGCTCAGATAAATAAGGGTAGATTTACTTCTGAAAACCAATAACAGTGTGGGTGCTGTTTTCATTGAATTTTACGTAATGGCTTTATGTAAATCTGGTATGCATCACTGTTTGTGTTTTTGTTGTCTTCATGCTGCCTTGTAATGGTTCCTGGCAGCTGTCAGATGCCAGCATAGTGCTGTGTTTGAAAATGATGTGTTGGTGTGCTCTGAGCAGTTGTGTATTTCCTCTATTCCTGAAGCCGTTCTCCAAGGTATGTTCAGACATTGCCAGCTTTTCGTTAATAGCAATACTAATAACAGGTAGGAACGTTGGAAAGAAGCTGCCAACGTTCCTTCTTTTCCTTGACTTGACACCCCCAATAATCCACACTGAAGCCTTGCTTTTCCTGCAGAGCTCCAGGGAATGAATGACCAGGAGAAAGTACAGAGGAACGCTCTGCAAGCGTAAGGGACTCACCATGAGACTTCTTATTTCACTGATTTATTGACTACCGTGAGAAACAAGATTCCTACACTTCTTTGCCATTTTTACTCACTCCTTCACCTCCAAAGCAAGCCTTCTACCAAAAGATGGTAGAGATGGCCACAGATAACCCAACCATAATAAGCCCAACCAGTATTGGAGCTGTTACAGGGTTTGAGCCTTTGTGCATCTCCTATATGTTCAGCTTCTTGGCTTTAGCTTGCTCTGCCTCAGAACACAGTATGTGATGCTTAAGTACAGCACAACTTGCTGTAGACTTAAATCAACCATGCTGACGCTTGTACGCTGCCTGCAGGGCATCTGTACCTTTGCCATTGGTGTACATTTTCCAACTGTCTTCAACTCCACCAAAAGCAGCGTGGTCATCAGTCAGTGAGTGAGGTGACTGTCCCTTCTATTCTGCCCTGTTCCATCTGTAGTACTGTGTCCAGGCCTGTATCCAGCTCAAGAAGGCTGCAGAGCTCTTGGAGCAAGACCAGAGAGGGACCACAGAGATGCTCAGAGGGCTGGAGCACCTTTCCTATGGAAAACGGTTGAGGGAGTTGGGCTTGTTTAGCTTGGAGAATAGAAGGCTCCAGGGTGACCTCATTGTGGCCTTACAGTACATAAAGAGGGGTCACTGGAAAGCTAGGCAGGGACTTCTTATAAAAGCATGTAGGAATTAGGCAGTGGTTAATAGGCTTTAAACTAAAAGAGGGCAGGTGGAGGTTAGATACAAGGAAGAAATTCTTCACAGGGTGGTGGTGGGGTGCTGGTACAGGCTGCCCAGAGAAGCTGCGGGTGCCCTATTGCTGGAGGTGCTCCAGGTTGGGATGGACGGGGCACTGGGCAACCTGATCTGATGGGCGACAGCCCTACCCACAACAGTGGCATTGGAACTGGAGGATCCTTAAGATCCCTTCAAACTCAAACCATTCTGTGATTCTATCTTAAGAGTAAGACCGACCACGTGGGGAACACCTGTCATTTCATCTTGAAGGTTAAACGATGCTTGAAGTTTTTGTGGAGAGTGGAGAAAGCTAAATTTTGAAAAGCCACTGGTGTTTTCTGTTGATCTTCCTGTGAAGCACTGTAGTACTTTTGGGAAGAGCTTGTTCTGTACAACGTAGTTTAATCAGCGTTCACACAGCAGTGTTGAGAAACAGTAGAGTTCTTTGTACCGAGGAAATATATCATCATAGGAAGCTAGCATACTGATTTCTTTTCTGTCCGTGCCAGTTTCTTGAGAATAAAACAAGTTGTTCTTACTCGCTTGTGTTTAAGCATACAATTAGGTGCATTTATTAAGTGCAAAGCAGTTCTGCCTTGGAGCATGGAGTTCTGTACATCTCAGCAAGGGAACAAAGAACAAAAGGGGTATAAACATTCCTGCTCATGGTTATATGGATCTGCAGTCCAGTGATCTTAAATGTTGAGATTATAACATAACAGTGAGTCATCTGTTCACACCCATCACTGTGTGGGACGTGTACCTTCAGCATCTCCTGAGTGTATGGGGATAAGTAGAGTGTTGATGTACCTGGGGAGGTTAGCAGGCTCAGTAGCCATCAGTTAGAATCTGTCCGTTTCTAATTGTTAACATTTTAGCAAATGAGGTTGTTCATAATCTTAATAATGAATGAGATTTTAAACCTTTCAGATGAAGCTGGGTGTTCTTGCTTACTAACTTCTTTTTCTGTTTCTCTAGTGAAGCTGTGGTCTACCAATTTGGACAACTCCGTAGCAAGCATCGAAGCCAAGGCAAACGTGTGTTGTGTCAAATTCAGCCCCTCTTCTAGATACCACCTAGCCTTTGGCTGTGCAGGTAGGTGAAAGGATCTTTGAGCAAAGAAATATTGTTTCTTCTTTCCTTTAAGCTGCTTCTTTCTCAAGGTTGGCTGCTGTTCTTAGCAGTGTAGTATCTTTGCAGTTAAAATCCCTCTGAGTAAGGCTTTTCAAATGTGCAGCCACCCAGAAGGCATCATGATACCCGAGCATCAACTCCTTCCTGCAGCTTGACTTTTTAATTTGCCTGTGTATCAGAGAAAAAAGCTCATGAAAGTGAGAGGCACAATGTGTTTATTGAGATAGCTAAGGCAACCAAGCAGATCGTAGCTTTGTGAGTCTTGAAGCAAGGTTAACGTGTTAACATGGTGATAGTTGTTCTTTCAAATTTACAGCATTGCTCATAAATAGTAGAAAACCATACTGGGAGTTTCAACTGGTTTTACCTGAGGCGTGCTGTAGAACAGTGGCTGTGCATGTTTCCTATTGCTGCAGCTATGATCCCTGTGCATGGGCTGATGTTTTCCTAGATTAAGTAAAGCATCTCTGTTAATGGTTTTGGGGATTTCTTGATGTCACCGGGAAAGGCACAATGAGACTTCTATTCACTTGGATTAAATAGGTTTTGGTGTTTGTACAAAGTCTTGAAAGCAGAGTGGGTATCACTTCAGGAGGAAACTGCATTGCTATGCATGCAGCAATTGAAACTTAGAGGTACCTATAAATGTTTAACCAACTCTGCATTTCCTTTTCCTCAGGGAGTTTTAATGTGCTTGTAACTAGATGTTCTGATGACACTTGCTATCTCTGGACTTTGGGAGATATGTTGATCGCATTCTTGCAACAGCTAGTTTGCCATTTTCTTTAGACATTCCAATTTCCAGACTGGTTCTACTTAGAATTGACTCTTAGGAGGAAAAAATACATTTGCATTTTGATACACTGCAAAAAATGGATTCAAGTTGGAGTGTAAAATATTGACTTGCTTGACAGGCATCTTGCTGAAGGTTAGTGAATTACATGCAAGAATAGAATTGAATTACAATACCTACTAGCAGCATTTGAATGAAAGGGGCTATCTGTGAAAGGCTCTAGGGAACAATGAGAGCACTAGCTCCAAATGGATCAGCTACTGATTAAAATAGATATGTAACAGCACCATGAAGCAGAATTCTTCCTGATAAATCAGTGGCTGGGATTCTTTTCCACCTGAAAGACAGAGGAGAGAATAAGGCACAGATAAATCTACGGAGGTTTTTGGAGCTGTAGGGGCACACGGGATGAAAACAAATTGTGTGTCTGTATCTATCAGGCCACACTCATACCACACTAAAACCACACTTGTCTTCAGCAAGTTAGGTGGGGAAAGAGGCATTAGTGGACATTAGGGGTTAACTGGAAGCTTTGTAAGACTACGTGTGCTTTTTTGAGATTGAGATAGCTGAGGATAAAACAGTATTTGTAGTAGGGAAGAGCGCATAGGAGGAAGGCAGAAGATGATTTTTGTAAAAAGTAAAAGCATCTTTACCATCAATTACCAAGCATCTTCTTGGTGCTTGGTAATTAAGTCTAAATAAAAAGTAAAACGGATATTTAATGGTGGTTGCGGGAGCAATTATGTGGGCTAATTGTACTGATGGGAATGATTTCCCACAAAAGAATTTTAATTGATCTTTCAGCAATAAATACAAGTGAAAAAATGCCATATGAAATTAACCAAAAAAGAGGGATCTTAAAAGCTGGTTTTATTTCTAAAATTAAAAATTCAGAGCAAAGAAATTAGTTTATTTTACTCTTTAGTGAGTATGAAAGTAGGCACTCTCCTGTTTAATGTGTTATGACAGAAGCAGTTTTTTCTTCTCCATCGATTTCAGCTGATCTTGTTTACTAATTTCACCGAGTCTATGGTAAAAAAAAAAAAAAAGTGTAACTTGTGAATAGTGTGTTTGTCACGTGGGCTATAAAATTAATAAAGGAAGAGAAAAGCTGGTTTCCTTAAGCAGTGTTGAAAAAGAAAAGGCATGGGGATGTGGAGGTTCCTGTCTGCCATCACAGGAACAAAGGTGAGCAGTATAAAACATTCACTCACTAAGGAGTAGAATGGGCAGTTTTAGGAAGTGGGCTTGTCTCTGTGTTGACTTGCTTAGATGCTCAGAGGAGTTTCAGTTATGATAATTTATGTCAACTACATTTCCAGTGATTGATCCAATGATAAAGGAGCCCTGATTTCCTGACATTGCACATGCAACAGAATTGGGTGCAGTGTTTAAGAAGTGCTGCTCCTGTATGTGCTTCATAGTGCTGGTTTGGTGGAGCTTGACGCTATATTTGTGTGTCTGCATGTGTGCATATATCCTTACAGCTTAAAGCTTGAGGAGAGAAGCAATTGATGAAATGGTTGGTGGAGAAAGTACCTAATGTTTGAAATATAAAAGGATGATGTAGATTGGTTTAATTATTAGATTACTATATACACCTTCCATTCCCCCTTTCTCCATATATGGGATAGGTTGCAATTTGCCTTGCTTAAGTACTGCAATTTTAACTACAAGTCTGGGTCTTCACTGCTAATCTTTAGGTTGTCACACATTTTCTTTTCCCAATTATTTCCCTTTATTTTCTCTTGAGGCTCGATCTTCAACCCTCCCTACAGCTGAAATCCTTTTTAGTAAGGCCTTGTTCTTCTGCATCTTGATGAATGAAATGTTTTCCTCTACCTTTGCCAAGAGCATTGTGTCCACGTGCGTCCATCTATTCAGAATGCCTCTTTGAAGTAGTTTTTCCTCATCAGGTACTTCAGACAGATCAGCATCTCCTTGAATCTCTGTGCTGGTCCCCGCTTTGTGCTCTCTGCAAAAAACAGAATAGCTATCTTAAGATCCTCTCTGCCTTATCTCCTATTTATGTATCCCTTCTCATTTGTTAGTAAAATGTTGACTCTTTGCTTACCTTTACCAGTGATGCTAGGGGTAAAATATTCAGAGAGAGATTCACTTTGTAATTGCACGCTTTCTTCAATTTTTGAAACATCTCCCTTCCTATTTCTCTACAATTTCTGAATGCTTGCTAATTTTCATGGTACAAATGATGTGAGCCGAGACAGCAGCCTGTGCACATTGTCATCCATTTCCCCGTGCTGAGTTCTTCAGAAGATCCCTGCCCTTTATTGGCAGCAGGAGAAGTTTCAGCCTTGAACATCGTCGTCTGAGAAGGGCTTGGATTGGAATTTATTGTATATGTGGATTTCTTCTGTGCTTCAGTTTACCCACAAGTAACTGGGAATAGTGGTAGTGCAAGCAGTAGCTGTGATGTTGGATTGGATGTAGCTGTGCTCAAGCGTTCGTGCTTTATCTCCTTATGAAGTGTCCTCCCTTAGAGTGGCTTGGCTTTGAGCAGATGCTGCAGAAAACTGCTTTAGTTGCTATTACAGAAGCAGATCCCAGGATTCCCATTTCATATGGATGATAAATGTTTCTTTTCTGGACTCTTTACTCCGAAAGCTTTCAGATGACCAAAAGATCATTTCTGTGGTTTAAAACAAAACAAGCAAGCAATAAACTGGAAGTAGAGTCTAAAATAGAGGAATAGGTGTTTGGTTTAGGAAATAATTGTCTTAAAATTTGTCAGGCCTTTCAGGTGAGAAGAAAGCTATCACATCAGACTGCAACCTGGTAAAATCCACTGCAGTGGAGAGGGCACATAAAGAAGAAAAGATCCCTTTTGTCTTTTACTTTGATAAAACATTCTATTTGCACACTTACTAAGTTGAAACATTGTGTAGTATAAACTGTAATCACTGATGAATATAAAATCGGGTAATTTTGTGGTCTTTTCCTCTTTTTAAAAATAGATGGGTCTTTATCCTGAAATTAGCCATATAAATCATAGCCAAAGTTGTTATTGTTCTGCTTCAGCAGTAGCACTGATGTCCTCAACCTATATATTTTCGAGCAGTACTGTTTTCTTGCTTTTAGGGGAAAAAAAGTAAAAATGGGCTGCAAATGCATACAGTTGGCAGCTCGAAAGTCCAAGTTATGCAGTCTGGGTGAGATCAGCTTGTCTACTATCTCCAGTGAGCTAAGCACAGCTATTGATAGCAGCAATGCTTTATTCCCAGCATGCTGTAATACCGTCAGCAGCTACTGCTGACCTTTTATTTCCCATATATTATGGGGAGATCGGATCATCAAAACTTCGAATTCCTGAGTTCTTGCACTAGATTCATCATCTTCTTTCATGTGGTTTTTCTCCATGCAGGACCCATAAATTTGGCAGGTTGAGAGGGGCTCCTCAGTGCTGCACAGCTGCGAGGCAGACTACCTGCTTCCCAGGAGTCGTACAAACAAGTGGAAGCAGCTGATGAGCATATGTAGACAGAAGTGCAGTGGCACATCTGCATCATGTTCAGAGCTTAATGTTTTGGTGGGTTAGTTTCAACCTCAGTCAGATCTCACTGCGTTGTCACAAACTGTTGAAAGCGTGGATTCAGGTGAACTGACCCAGAAAAGCAGAGGGCAGCACTCATTGTGTTGGCATTAATGCTTACATACAACTACAGCCTCAGAGGTTGAGGTTGTCTAGGTTGGGAGACTCTCTTCCCTACACTCAGGCTTCTCCACTTATTCCTGTCCACGTATTCCTTGCCCATTCTGTCTCTTTTCCTTATTCCCTTCTCTACTTGTACAACGCTGCTGAGCAAGAGCACTTCCCAAGAAACTGCTTGTCCTTCCCAGATGACTTTGCCCTTGCCCAGCAGGTTTTGCATGCTGTTTAAAAATCTTTTTCTTGCACTATCTTCAGCATTACAGAATGGCATCACGCTCTGGCTTTGAATGCCGTAGCCTTTCGTTCCTTGTTGAAAGGCCACAAAACTAATTATTCTGATTCACAGCATACAACTTGAAAAAGGACTCCTGTTGCTATGTCAACAGCTTTGTTTTGATTTTTTCCAACTGTATGCCCACCTCTTAAATTCTCTGCACAGCCGTTAAGCACTTAGAGTTCAAGATCACGTGTGGTTTTTTTAGTCAGCATCATTCA